GCACAGAGCCTGACGTGGGGCTTGAACCCACAAACGTGAGATCATGACCTGAGCTGAAGTTGGATGGTTAACCAACTGAGCCACCCAGGTGCCCCAGAAAGGAAAGTTGTTGAATAGCTTTAAAATGACTTAATTTTTTGTTTTTGATTTTTTTTTTTTTAAAAAAAATGACCCTTACATTAAACACATGTGTGCGCCACATACAAACTCACACAAATAAACATTTTTATGCTTGTTACAATGTGCAATAAAATACTTTTACTGCGGACCAAGGCAGTGGGTTAGGGTCAGAGGTGTGTATCCTCGTGCCTGCACGCTGACCTCCACACTGACAGCTGGGCTGTCAGCACATAAATGCCATGTTCACCTGGCATCGGATATGCTGATAATACCCATCATGATGACCATAAGAAGAAGAGCAGTTATCTGAGTAGTTAATAAGTTCCAGGCAGAATAGTAGATAAAAGTTCCCTAGTTTAAATGTTTTTTATGTTTATTTATTTTTTGAGAGAAAGAAAGACAGAGTGCAAGGCAGGAGGGTCAGAGAGAGAGGGAGACACAGACTCTGAAGCAGGCTCCAGGCTCTGAGCTGTCAGCACAGAGGCCAACGCGGGGCTCAGACCTACAGACCACAAGATCACGACCTGAGCTGAAGGTGGAAGTTTAATTGACTGAGCTACTCAGGTGCCCCAAAAGTTCTCTAATTTAATCCTCACAACTACTTAACGTCAGGCAGTATGATCATCATGTTACAGAGAAAGAAATGTAGTCAACGGGAGAGCTGAGCTTCATACCCATGCCTGTGGCCTTCTGGAAATCCACTGGGAGCCCTGTAACTGGATACCTTTCCAATGTCCTACTTAATGGTCTTCACAAACAGATTCCTGACATTCCCCAGCAAAGTGAGTTTGAAGTGGGAGAGCCTAATTTATTTAGACAATCACACCTTGCTAACAAGGATTTGATAACATTATCCATTCTGCCTAATTATGCCCTCTGAAGTTTACCTGTTCTCCTCAGTAGAGTGAAATAAAGGAAAAAAGCCTGAGCAGGAGAGCAAAAAATGAAAATAGGCAATGCTAATGAATCATAATTTATCTGGAAAGAGGCAACTCAACAAATACACTAGTAAGTATGGATAAGGAACTGTGTAGAATACACACAGGAAGAGAATACTTGTCCTGCCCTTGAACCATTCATTATCATTACTGAAAATAAGACAACAGGCTTAAAATGGAGTCACTCATGCTAAGGGCCATGTGACCAAACTGAGACCTAATTATACTCTGGTTTTCCCCAAAATGGACTCTTAATTCAGTCAATCTGGAATCTCACAATCAGCACTAGTTGTATAATTTAGCGGATATACCCCTGCTGTCTTTCAAAAACAAGTAGCCTTGCAATAATGAACTCCTCTTTTTCGGTGCAGAACTTCCTTGTTCCCGCTCCTTTCTGCCTATACGGGTCTTCCAGGTCCTTCCTGTTGGCTAGCTGGTGTGCTGCCTGATGACTAATCATTGAATAAAGCCAACAAGATCTCTAAAATTTACTCAGTTGAATATTTTAAACATCATTAATCTGGAAGAGACAGATATATACACAATTAATGATTGTAAAGGTAGGATAATTAGCACCATATTTATTGACCATTTACTATATCCTAGGCACGGCACTAAGTATTTCTTATCATTTAAAAACCTCACACCAGCCCCAACCGTCATCATTTTATACATGAGAAAGCAAAGAGTAAGAGACCTGTTTAACATTAGTAAGTAGGGAACCTTACTCGATTCAAAGCAAGCTTTACAGCAAAACCCTGGTCCCCTGAGGCTGCGCTGCCTTGGTCTACGAGAGACTGTGACAGGTACCGTAAAAAAAAAAAAAAAAGGTAGATGGAATCCCAAGCACATCAAACAAAATTGTAACATGTGAACCACTCCTAACCAAAAATAAGTGATCTTGATGTTAACCATGAGTCTCCCACACTTTGGTGGAATGAAAAATTCAGCAAAGATGCATGCGGGACTGGGTATTTGCAAACATATGACGAGCACAGATCACACAGATGTGAGTCCACGGCACAGGACTCCTGTGGTCCTGAGCACTGTGACGCGCACTCTAGGGAAACTCCTTGTGCATCCAGGGAGTCACTGAGGTACAAGGAAGAAAGATGTGTCATGCGAAGCAGACAGGTGACAAGGCAGAGACGAGGAGGTGGGCCTGACCTACCCAGAGAGCCAGCCGCCATTTTCCAAGAGCACACTCACTCCTCAGGAACTATTCTCGGCCCAAATTTCCCTAGATCCTACCAGGCCCTAAGGTAGGCATTGCAAAACAGCTGCCTGTGACCCTTATCAAAGTTTTGTGGGTCTGGGTAATATTGTAGAAACAATAACTTAGATATACTTAGAGAGGGTTTGCCATTTTTAATCCCTTGTCCCTGTATTAGCTTAGAGCTGGTCAGCTTCAGGTTTTAGCCCTAGTCTCTGTAGCACTTGACTTTACAAACATTGCCTGTTTAAAGTCTCTGCAAGAACAATTTAAACATAAATCAAATGATCTTCCCGTAGTGCCTGGGTGGCTCAGTCGGATGAACATCCAACTCTAGATTTTGGCTCAGGTCATAATCTCACGGTCCATGGGTTCAAGCCCCATATTGGGCTCTGTGCTGGCATTATGGAGCCTGTTTGGGATTCTCTCCTCCTCTCCTGTTCCCCAGCTTCCCCCTCTCTAAGCAAATAAATACACTTTAAAAAATAAAATAATATAAAATGATCTTTCCAATACACTGGTCAAGCCACAGTGATCTATTACTACTGAGCAAGAATCAAATGGAAGAGTTTTATGAAAAGCCACACAGATCTTTGGGGCGCCTGGGTGGCTTAGTTGGTTAAGCGTCTGACTTCAGCTCAGGTCATGACCTCAAGGTTCATGAGTTCAAGCCCCATGCTGGGCTTTGTGCTGACAGCTTGGAGCCTGCAACCTGCTTTGAATTCTGTATGTGTGTCTCTCTCTCTGCCCCTCCCCTGCTCATGCTCTGTCTCTCTCTCTCTAAAATAAATAAACATTAAAAAAAAAAAAAGGTCACACAGATCTATATAGTCCGCACACCCCTGAAGGTTAAGCTCATTCTACATCTTGGAATTCAGCCACCAAAGCTCTTTGGCTCTAGCTGATCCATGCCTTGAGGAGCAGGAAAGGAGCCTGGACCTATTGTCAACAAATGCAGACCTAAAGACCGGTAAGGCAGTACCCAGAATATTATAAGTACTCTCATTCCTAAAGCCCACAAGTGAATGCCCTGGCAGAGTGAGTGAGTGGCGCCAGTTTCCAGTCAGATGCAGACGCCGCTCAATATGTCGCTTCACGCTGCCCAGGAAACGACAGGTGAGTCAGCACCGTGACCTCGAACACCTCCAAACTGGACCATTCATTCTCCCCCAGATCCACACCTGTGCTGTGTTCTCCACAGAAAAAGAGTAATTTTGCCTTAAAGACATTGTATCAGAGTTAGGGTGTTTCTAACTGACTTGCAGCCATTCAACTTAGTCATAAAGTGTCACAGAACATCTACCTATTAGCACTAACAGTGCTTGATGTTTTAAGGCAACCAAAGGCCTTGCGCTGCGCCTACCCATCATCATTCCGGCGCGCCAGGCCTGCGGAGCCCGGGAGCGGCAGGGAGCAGGTGCGGCACCGAAGGCGCCAGAAGACTGAGGAGGAGAAACCAAAGGTTCGCACTTGACTTTTAGCGCTGAGCAGCACTGATGCGTTTGCAATAATGTAAATCTTGCTTGATGGATTATTTTCAAATTACAATGGAATCAGCATCACCTCATGCTATTTTTTCACTTATTCTGATGTAGAATTCACTTAGCATTTAATAACTCACTATAATGCAAAAAAACAAAACAAAACAAAACAAAAAAACCCTACATTAGAGATAAAAGGTGTTTTCTATCCTAAATTTAACTCACCGGAGTGGGGGGAAACACACACAGACTCCATCCTTACACTATGTTCGGTTTTGACATCCATACCTTGAAAAGGGATGGAGACAAACTGAACGGGAATGAAACGTGCTCAGGGGAGAATAAAAAGGCAACATGCTAGTTCAGGGCCATCCAGGATAACGGACAAGTAAAATTACCCCAGTGTCTGCCTGAGCCGACTCACAGAACCCGGTACGTTCGTCTTTGCTCATTGTTCTCCCTTAATACAGCTGTTGAAGTAACTGTCCCCCCTACCAGGTTATATGCTCCAAGGGGCTCAGGAACCCTGTCTGTCCACTCACCTCGGCATCTCCTATACCCGTCAGAGTCTGGCAGTGAGTGGGGATGTCACAGTGTCTTATTAATACCGACCGAGTAAAGAAGACACCTGACTGCACGTGCCCGACTACAGTGGAGATTATGATTCCGTAAGAGGCTGAGCTTTTTCCAACAGTGAGAACACGCAGAGGCGGGAACGGCTGCGGAGGTGTGAAGCGGAGGTGTGAAGCGGAGGTGAGGCCACAACCACGCACGAGCGGAGCCAACACAACAGAACCAAACTTCTGGGTCTGCTTTAGGAACTTCAGGAATTTTCAGACTCTGATCCATGATCCTAACAGAGACCCTTCCCAAGTGTGGAGAATGTAAACTAAAATCGTCCAGACGCTTCTCTGTGGCTGGGATTACACAGACCACTTTCTGAACCGAAGATCCTCAGCTCTCACATGCCTTTTATTTGGCTGTGCGTTTACCCTGCTGTAGCTGAACCAGAAGTGACACTGCTTTACTATAAACCATTTTACTGTTTCTATTTACTCTGCACAGACCCAGGGGTTGGTTTAATAGATCCAAAACGGTAACCGTGCTGGCCGTGAGGAGGGAACGAAGCTAACCATGGAGAATTAATCAAGCTCACCCTCACACCCCCGCATGTAATCACAGAAAGCGATCTCTATACTTCATGAAACCAGTGTCTGCTCTTAATCACAGGGTGGTGAGCACACTTACCACAAAAGAATAATAAATCTTGAATCCAGGTTTAGCCACGAAGTAGTCATCAGACTTGAATGTTATTTTAATGTGGTTTGTCCTTGAGGTTATCCGGGGAGGGACGTCCCTGTGCCCGCACCACCGCCCTCTGATTATGGTACTGGTCTCAGACACGTCTTCAACCTCCACGAAATCATACCTAGGTTCAATGTGACATAAACAAACGCATTCTGATTACAGGACACCTTGAAATTCATACTTCACTGAGAAATTAAAAGTAACATGTGATTTCTCACGGCCTACTGACTAACTTGAAACATAAAGCCTGTAGAAATTTTTAAAGGAAAGCTAGTCTTTGGGTTACGTCTTTCAAATTCAAACTTCAATAATCTGAAAGAACGCTTCTGCACATTTAGCCGGAGCACTCCCAAATCAACAATAATCAAAATGGGCCACTTCCTGAGCATCTGCCTTATAAGGGTTTCCTAGGAAAAGTAATAATTATAATCTGTTGTCCTATTTTTGGAGATCCAGCTTTAATTATATGCCCAAATATTTACTAAAGGTTTTCAAATTCCCACTTTTAATTAATTCACCACATCCAGTGCTCCCTGAAGAGATTATCTGTATCTATACAGCATGTAGAATCAGCATTTTATTCTACCTCATTAAAGAAAATAAATAGTAAAATAAAATAAACACCACTCTTCCCTTTTGGAAACTGTCTTTTGCAAGGATCCTATCAAAATAGGATTTGAAAAGCATTCCGACTTGGGGGAGGGAAGTGCCCTGGGCAATACTGGAAATATCTGGTTAAACCAGGGTGTGGACGAGCCGAAGGTCACGGTGCTGCTCTGACGCTGGGGGAACCACAGAATGCCGGGCTGACAGGTGGGGAAGGCCTCTTTCCATGTTCCACGTAACCTTCCCATCGCACAGCAGGCTGTCTGCAGGGGCGCAGCGAACAGCCTCCGAGGACCATCCATTTACCTTATTTTCAGACGCTCCAAATCTTGAGACATTTCACTGTGAGCTGAACTATCTATCTGCTTTCAGTTCTTACTCTGCCTCTCCCCAAATGACTTTGAATGCTACAGTCACAACGCAGAGGATGGGCACTCTGGGTGAACGTGGCGGGAGACTCAACCCACTTGATTTCTTCTGCACGACTGCCCGGCGGGATCAGCTGGAGAAACATGGCAGCTGGATACGGAGAAAGTCCACGAGGCGCACAGAGCTCCTACTGGACCGGGCGGGGTCGTGTAAGGCCAGGGTGAGCCCGATGACATCGTGACTATGCTTCGTTGACAGTGCTTGGGGGGGGGGGACCCTCCTGTTCTGTTGCCTCAGTTTCCTTCTGAGCAAAGTAAGAGGTTTATACAAACTCTATGGCTGGGTATCTCTTGGGTGCTGTATAAATTAATTACTTAATGTTCATATGGTGCTTGGAAGGTGAGAGGCACTCACAAAGAATCATTATTCAAGCAATAAAACATTACAATGTAAACATCAAGGAGGCTTGTGAACAGATGGCTAGGAAATCAATTGCATTGCATTTTATATACAGTAGCTGTAAATCAGAGCTACTGCAGAAGAACGAGTGTACCTGAAACTTTGTTAGTAACACCAGCGCGGTCACTTTCACGTTTTGTTGAAAATACATGGCTTGGTTTTTCCTCGGGATGAAGTCAGTGTCTGGGAGGCTCGAGGCTCTGATCTCGTTCCCTCCTTCCTCTCTCCTTCCCCGCCTCTTACTCCTCTATTTGCCTCCATAAATTTTGCGATGCAAGTGGAGCTGATGAAAGGTCCAGAGAGGAAAGCACCCTTAGCGTCTTCCATTTTCAAGGTCTGGAGGCAGGATCAAAATCTCAGCTCCGCAGCGCGACCCGGCCTCCCTGTCACGTGTCACCTTTTACAGTCCTCAAAACAATTTTTTTCGCGCCAACTCTTCTTGCAGCCCAGAAAGCAGTTCTCCCTTCCGGGGCGGGAAGACACAGGCCCACTGGGGTTGGTTCTCCTGTAAACTGGGTCTGGCTCTTGCCGCCCGTATCTGGCTCTGCTTTCCGGCATACGTGACCTGCTGTGGCCCCGCACAGGACGGGTCACTGCTGCCATTCTTGAAAACACAGCAACATAATAAAAGCTGTCAGCATAACACACATGTGACAGAGGACAGCCAAATTTGAGGCACCCTCTTTTATGATTCAAAGGAAGATACAGCTCAGCAGAGCGTGGGCAGTGTGGGGCCCGGGGCCTGCAGGCAGGTGCAGAAGGGACAGAAAATCCTCCCTGTCGCCTCCGTACTAATGAAGTGACTATGCTGTGGGCAGACAAAGAACAGGCAGGGCGTTCTCTGCTCACTGCTTACAAGGGGAAGACGGTCAAGAAGAGATCTGGTCTTCTGCTAAACCCGGAAAGGACAGGAAACGGACCGTCTGAGGGCAGGTGATGTTTCTTTCTTCTCTGAGGCCCAGGATGTCAGGGTAAGGCCCTGACATGGCCCTCGCTGTCACTGTCTTCCTGTGCGTGGGTTACAATGACCAGAGCCCTGCAGGGCTGGACGTTCCTTACAGCCCATGGCCGGCTTGCCCCAGAGCCACGTGACGTGGTCGCGGGTGACGTAGGGTACTGGGTGCATCTACCAGCTCGAGGCCTGGCCAAGAGAGGGCCCTCTAGGGTGCTTGGGTGGCTCAGTTGGTTAAGCGTCCGACTTTGGCTGCTCAGGTCATGATCTCACAGTTCGTGGGTCTGAGCCCTGCATCGGGCTCTGTGCTGACAGCTCAGAGCCTGGAGCCTGTTTCAGATTCTATGTCTCCCTCTCTCTCTGCCCCTTGCTGTCTCTCAGAAATAAATAAAAACATTTAAAAAAAAAAAAGAGAGAGAAAAGGTCCTCCGGACTCCCCTTGCCCGGCGGCCCTGCAGCCTGGCTCTGCGGTGTGTCCCTGGGTTTCGTGACCAGGCCCCCTGCCGAGGCCGCCTGTGCCCTGCGGGATTCTGTCTGCTCGGATCCGGGTGGGTCCCCCAAGGGAGGCCTGGTGTGAGGTTTCATACCCATCCTTTGTTCCCCTTGGACGTGACCCCGGAGCCACGCTTGTCCCCACTCACCTGCAGATATCGTTTTCCGCTTCCTCTAATCCAAACTGGTTGTCGAAGGCCAGCTGTATCCTCGTCTTCTCCCGGGAGAGCAGGCGCCACGTGAGGAGCAGGTTCCTGGGGTAGCTGTTGGGGAAGCGGGGGCTCTGGACGTGGCCATTTCCCGTCACCTGGATGGTCTCGTCTCTTCGGTACAAGTCTGTGAGGTGATTGCTCTCTGTTAGTAGTCACAAACTTGTAGAAATTAGTATGTTGTCCCAATCACAAGAAAGCAAACACACAAACAAAAAAGAACAGTTTAAGACATCACACGCTAAGACACGTCTTGATCCCGTCTAACAACGTGGTTCCACACATAACAGACTCTCCTACCCCACCGGCCCCGACCGCGCGCTTGTGCTCGGAGTCCTTGTTTCACGTAGTTTTTGACAAGGAAAACGAACGGTTACCTGAGAACTCAGGTTCATTTAGATCGATAGTAACCTCAGTAAATAATGGGGCGCCTGGGCGGCTCGGTCAGTTAAGTGCTCGACTGCGGCTCAGGTCATGGTCTCACGGCTCGTGGGTTCGAGCCCCGTGTCAGGCTCTGTGCTGACTGCCAGCTCAGAGCCTGGAACCTGCTTCAGATTCTGTGTCTCCCTCTCTCTCTGACCCTCCCCTGCTCACGCTGTCTCTCTCTCTCTCTCTCTCTGTCAGAAATAAATAAAACATTTAAAAATATTTTTTAAAAAAACCCGAAACCAAAACAACAGCTCTGTTCTTCTCTGCCCTGACGGTGTGACAATATCGCTTCAGCAAGGCGCCCAGGCTGACTCCAGAAATACTGATCAAATGAACAAGTGAGTGAACAACATGAAGGGATCGAATGGTGTTTAACGACTACTCATTTTCCAGTGGTTTCTCCATCGTAAAAGTCATTAGTTCTTTGCCTTAGTTTCTGGTGACTCACAAGCCCAAGTCCTGTATTTTCTGTGTGTCTGAACTTGTGTGGACTTTCTCCCAGATTCCTGAGAGGGAACTCCGACCCCCTTAGACCCTTCCAAGACCACGTGACAGAAGGGCCTTTGTTATTCCTCATGGGTCCCAGGGACCTCATCTGGGTTTACACTGCTGAGGCAGTTCACTGCGGACCCCTGAATAGTTTTGGGGCAGAGAGGGGGCTGTACAGTAAGACCGACCCAACCGCGTAGTGACGGGGAGAGGGCTCGGGCCCTGGCATCAGTCTGACCTCACCACCTCCCTGGAGGAAAGGAGCACTGGACACGGAGTCCGGTCCCATCACAGCGCACCCCCCCACGCCCCGCCCTGCAGAATGAAACCCCAGTAGAAAATCTGGTCACAGAGGCTGAGGTAAACCTCCCGGCTGGTGGAGCGCGTGGACGAGCTAGGGGGCGCTTCACGCTTGGGACCCCCCCCACCCCAGAGCTCACCCTATGTGTCTTCGTGGGGCTGATCCTGAAATGTACTCTTTATAACAAAACTTAGTAGTAAAACTGCCAGTGTAACTCCAGGGCCTTCTTGAGCTCTGCAAGTTGTTCTACCAAATTACCAAACCTGATGGGCTTACGGGGGACCCTGAATCAGTAGCCGGTTGGTAAGTACGGGCTCATGGCACCCCAAAATCTGCGGCTGGCGTCGGAAGGCAGTGGTAGGAGCCGTGCCTGCAAGCCGTGAACTGTGACCTAAGTCTGGGAGCTCTGTGTCGGCAGGGCAGCCCACGGTGGGTCGGTTTGTACATGCGTCCCAATGTGCAGCGCTCTCTGCAGTTTGGACTCTGGTGGCACAGAGCCTGCTGGGAGTGGGCCCCCTGCCACAGTCTATTTGCACTCGCCTGCAAGCGTGCACTCGGAGGCCTGTAATTCAGCAAGCCGGGTCAGGGCGGCTCAGGTTGCTGGTGGAAACCTCCGAAGGCTGGCCTGCTGAGGGTGGCTGGCAAGGCTCCCAACACCAGAGGCAGGAAGGCGGACGGAGCCCACGAGATGCAGAAGTGTCTTCCCCTTCACAAATGTTCTGGCGCGTGTGCGGGGACTGCAGCTTTTTTCCTTCCACTCATTCAGCGTTTACCGTGTTGCGTTTGCCCAGTTAGAGCTACGTGGACAGTACCAGGAAGGGCACGGGGAGCTGGCGGGAGCTGGTGACTTGAACCTAGGATGCGAGAGCACAGCTCCGCAGCCCGTCCAGCGAGCCCAGCCACACACCTTCCCCGGGGAAACATTCTTCCCAGCTGACCCTTCCCTTAACCCTATGCTGCAAATACAGCCATGAAAATCACCTGTCTGCTCAACTGTCATCAGGCTCTTAGGAAATGGCTGAGGGCTGGTGGCTAGAAAGAGAAATGTCAACCATCGGCCAGTCAATCCACAATCAATTACTGAGCACAGAGTCTGAATGTAATGTTTTGCACTGTTTTGAAGACTTGGGTCAGTAGAGATTTACCTTCACAATTCATGCCGTACTTCCTTTACTGTCATTTGCTTAATATTTCTCTAAATTAATATTTTTATTATTTCTTTTGAGAGGGCATGAGTGGGTGGGGGAGGAGCAGAGAGAAAGGGAGAGAAGAATCCTGAGCAGGCTCAGCACCGTCAGTGCAGAGCCCGATGTGGGGCTTGAACTCACAAACCGTGAGATGTGACGCTAAAGTCGGCCGCTGAATGGACTGCGCCACCCAGGCACCCCAGGAGATGCTCGTTATATTTTTAAGAGAGCGGTGGTGGGGGTGGAGTTTCCTTCTGACACAGTTTGGTTACGACAAAACTGATTTCCAGTATTAGAAAATTACCACCGACCTATATTGCACTGTCTCCAATTATATCAACCTGAAGGCAAAAAATTTTCTCAAGTATCGTGATTTTCCCCTTAAAAATCAAAATCCTGCCAAAAATATACATATACACACACATGAATGATAGCGACTCGGTTTCTAGGCTTCCTTTGGGCCAGGCACTGTTGAAGCACTCTTCATGTTTCATTTGCGGGAGAAACTCTTTACATATAGGACACTGTGTGTGTGTGTGTGTGTGAATGTGTGTATGTGAGTTTGTACATGTGAGCATTTATAACAACTCTCCAACACAGTTATTACTACCATTCCACAGGTGAAGATTCTGCGGCACAGAGAGGCCAAGTAATTTATTTAAAGTCACAGAGCTGGTAAAGAATGGAGTCAGAGCACAAACCCAGGCTCTCCGCCCCCCGACCTGTTGCTTTCAACCACTCTGCTGTAGGTGTTCTTTCTTAGTCTTAACTTTGGGAAAGGCCGTTTTAGACCCTTTGCTATCTGTAATCCGCTCTGACTTGTGAATCATACTGTTTGCACTTAACTTATAACTTCGTGCTGACTCAGGGCTATTTTTAGCAGACGAGTTATAATGAGTTATGGTACAGACCCCAACATCCCGGGTTTACCCTGAATGACTAAGTCCTATATATGAAGTCACCCTTCGGAACAAAAGCATTCACTGTGGTGTCCAAGCATAGCAAACATCGACGGAGCAATTATTAAGTGCCAGGCACCCCAATAAGTGTACACTACTTCATTCATTCTTTGCAACGACCCCATGATATTGGTAAATACCCCCTCTTGACCAAGGAAGCAGCACTGGAGAAACTTGTAACCTTGAGGGCACAAAGCTAGTGGGGAATCGGGCAGTCTATCTTCAGAGCACACACCTTGAACCAGTGCATCGTGGGAGCTGCTGAGCTACAAAAATATGAAATACATCAGTTCTCATAAAGACTAATTTCCATGCAAGTTTATACGTTATTTTACATTCTCATACAGAAGGAAGTTTACATCCTCATAAACTATGAGTTATGCATTTGATCTTTTTTTAAAGCCAATTAAAATGGAAAAAAAGAAAAGCCAAGTGTTTTTGTCGATTCCATTCCCAACCCCTTAAACAAACCCAGTTCATTCAACCAAGTGTCAAGGGAGCTCATGAGAAGTCACTGCGGCCCCGTCACAACGTCTGGGATTTGTCTCGAACAGCCAAGTGGGGCTCCCACCTCAGACTCATTAGCATCACCCAGGAGACGGTGTGCGTTGGTAGAAATGCACACGAGTGGGACCCCTGCCCCCAGCCCTGCTGATGCAGAGAAGCTGGGTGGAGAGCAGCCGCATTTGCTGCAGCGGCCCCTCCAGTGCCGCGTGTGAGAAGCGCTCACCCTGCTGACCCTCTCACTCGGTCTAGTATTTCGCTACTGCTTCTGGACTTTCCTGGTTCCTCCACTTCGTGCTGTGACTCCACACCTCAAGCTCAGGTTTCGTCCTGACCTCTCCAGCCAATGGCCTGTCTCAGACTCACTTTCCTGTCTGTGACCTTCAACCCTCCTCCAACTCATCACGTCTGGCCCACGGCCGCCTACGCACTGACGCTGCGTGTTACCCCCGTACCCAGCTTTCTCCAGTGCGTGGAATGGGTCATTCCTGGTCCCTTCGGAAATACGTGGTGACCTGTCAGCACATAACAGAACGTTTAAGAAGAAGTCAAATCATGAATAATGCTACTACTTCTAATTCTTCTCAGATCGTAATATTATCTAGGACAACATAAGATGCAGAGGCCAGAGCCTGAGTGGCTAAGTAAGGATGAAAATGCTTGATCGATGATTCCATCGGAACAAGGTACCTCCTCACACAAATTCAGGGCAACAGTACAGGCCTCCCTGTGTGCCCCGTCCCCATCCAGGAGCCAGAGGCCATGCCTGATGTCACAAACTCTCTATTCGGCAGCCATGAACCAACAGCCAAGAACGGTCGTCGAGTCAGAAAAGCCCTAACTTGAAAGGGACAGATCACAAACTTCATTTGTAGAACGGCTGTTCCATAATTATGCGCTAGATCACGGCCTCAGGGCCGGCCCAGACCAGAGCTGCATGACGTGTACACCCACCAGTGCCGCCTGTGATGCTCCACAACCCAGCGAGGCTACTTGATTTTGGAGGGAGCGATGCTGGTTATAAGCATCCGATTGTGTCAGTCCGCCATAAATATAAGTTTATGTAACAAAAATGGGGACAGTAAATATCACTGCTCTCATTCTGCTTCTTTTAAATTTGACTTTGTTTTGCGACTGCAGCAGGCAAGGAAACCAGCACAGAGAAGTTTCAGCGACTTGCTGCGGAGGCGGGTGTGTCAGAGTGGAGACTTCGGTCCAGCCTGCCGTCCGTGTCTCACCTGGTGGCTTTCCCGCCACA